GCACGTAACAACAACAAAAAAAGGTTTACAGATTAAACCATTTCAAATCTGAGATTTGTTTCAAAATATGTCAGTGTTGGGGAAGAGGGGTAGAAAGGGTACAGTTGAAACAAGTTTAGTCATAAATTGTAAAAGTTGAAGCAGAGTGATGGGTACCTGGGGGTTCATTACGTTACTCTTTCTTCTGTTATAAAGAGGTCTGGTGGCACAGTGTTAACATTTAGCTGCTAACCAAAGGGTTAACACATTTGACTGCTAACCAAAAAGTCAGTGGTTTGAAATCACCAGTCATTCTGCAGGAGAGAGATGAAGCAGTCTGCTTCCATAATGATTTTAGCCTTGGAAATCTAGTAGGGCAGTTTTACGCTGTCCTCTAGTGTTGCTATGAGTCAGAAGCAGTGGGTTTGGTTTTGTTTTGGTTCTCTACCATCGTAAATACTGTAGACATTAAATACCAAAAACTTTCACAAACTCCGTACCTAATGGAGAAAATTGAGATGTGTTCTGTTTAAGATTAAAAATAATTCAAGAATGTTCACTATCATTGCTAATGTTTACATAGCATTGGAGGTTCTGGCCAACATTAATAAAGGAAAAGAGAAAGAAAGAAAGGTATATAAGGACTGGAAGAAAAAGAATTAAACGTGACTTTATTTGCAGATGAAATCTACTTGGAAAAAGTGGTATTAATGGTCCAATTATGGAACAAATTTGTCAAATACAAGATCAACTTTAAAAAAATATTAATTCTCTATTCTAGTAAAACCAACTATGACATATATTTTTAAAAAAGCAAACAAAATATACTTCACAGTATCCATGAACACTTATATCTAAAAATTAACTTAAGAAAGAAGAAATACTAGACTCTAATAAAGGACACAAATATAATGAATGAAATATTATGAATATACAATTCTTCAAATATTAAAATATAAATTCAATGTAATTACATTTGGAAGTTCCAGTTGGGTTTTTTAATAAATGTACTTGATATGCCAAAGTGTGCATGAGGAAACAATGTCTACAACACAGTGAACTTAAGCTTGAAAAGAGAAAGTGGAGAGAGGGAAGTTTTCCCGCCATGTTTTCAGACAAACATATTTCCACAATAATCAGAACAAGTGGGCTATCTGGAGCAGAAGAGACAGCTCAGTACATATAGGAAATTATACAATAAAGATGACATCAGATGCATGGGAAATGATGGAGTATTTAGTGGTGTTGGCTCAATACATGGGGACAAAAACAAAAACAATAGCTGCCTCAAAGGTGAACTCTAGTTCGTCTCTCTCTATTACTAGGCAAAATGAGACTTGTACCTCTTATCATGCTGATCTGTTTTATAATTAACAATATTTACATTGGCCATTTTTTAATTTTCACACATTGGAAGATTTTTCAGACCTTAAATAAATGATAAATGCTGAAAAAAAAATCAAGTTCAGTATTTAAATTATTCCCATTTCCTCCTATCTAATAATTAATTATATCTCCCTAAATAAAACATTCCTTTAAGTTCATCAAACATGTCATTAGACATTATTTGCAACTGAGTTAACCTGAGTTACCTTTTATAAGTAAATTTTTTGGGGTATTAATCAGCTCTTCCTTGAAAACTTTCTCATCATCCCTCATGTCATGGCTTACCACATTAGGTACACTCAATAGCCTAATTTTTCATTCAGCAAATGCTCTATATTGACTTATGTAATGAAAGAGGCATTATGCTTCCGAAGGATGAAGCAAAAGGCATAAGTTCAAAATTAAATTTTCATTGGTTGAATTGACTATATTTTTCTTGAATAAATGGAAAGTCAAGAAAAGCAGAGTACAGCTGAAAACCAGCTCTGTCACGGGTCAAAGAATTGAACTAAAATGATGAGCTGAGAAAAAAAGATGTAGCCTTTGTGATCCCTAGTGAATTAAGCTGTTCCCAGTTCATTTTTGAACCTGGACCTATTCAATGAAAAGCGCTGTTTGTAGCAATAAAAAGATGCAGTCTTTGTTCAATGGGAATTGATAATCATAAATGTCAGGGAAAGGCAGCCCAACTCACTTTCCTTGCCTCTAGTGTACTTGGTGGGAAATAATTGTTCTGACTGAGCCTTTACCTTGACAGTGAAGCGTTTTTTCTTTGGTGGATTCCATACTGTGCCAGTTGAATGAATGAACGCACGCAAAGGGGTTAAGGATGTCACCAACACATATGCCTTGAGAATCACAGACAGATCTTCCGCTCTTAAGACGGTTTCATGTGAAGCAAGAACCCTTGTTTGGTTCCTAGAAAGGAAAAGTGATACAGTTAATGCCCCATAGCCTGTGGTTGAGGATGTAATTTGTAAAGAGTCCCTGGGAGGTGTAAACAGTTAACACTCCACTACTAGTGGAAAGGTTGCTGGTTTGAACCCACATGGACGTGCCTCAGAAGACAGGCCTGGTGATCTGCTTCTCCAAGGTAACAGTCTTGAAAACATCGTGGAGCACAGTCCTGCTCTGACACACATGGGATTGCCAGGAGTTGGAATGGACTCTGTGGCAACTGAAAACAACATGTGATTTGGGAATTGTCTAAGAACTTTCTACCTCTCTTCTGCCCTTGCTGGCCCTCTGCCTTAAGTGCAATTTAACTGCTTATTATTAGTGCACCACCAGGGGGGGCACTGGTACAGACTGAAGGGATTAATTTGGTCAGTTACTAAGTGGCAGATTTAAGCAAATGATTTTTGAAAGGAAAATAGTAGTTAAAGATTTTTTAAAATTTCCATTACTCACACTACTCATGACCTCACATTTACGGTACTGTCACAACAAAAGAGATATAATTTGTGGTTTGGGGAGCAGTGAAACAGTTTCTGTAACTTTCCTCTTACTTTGCTCGAGTTCTTCCTGGAGCATGAAAATATGCTAAAATATGGTAAATTTCTTAAACGTGCACATGTCACCAAGAATATTCCAAAACAGTTTCCTGACTATATGTAGGTAGTCCTCAACTAATGATATTTTCAAGTAAGGACAAACTGCACTTAATTAGAACCTGATTTTTCTTTTCCTTTTTTTTTTTTTTTTTTTAACAGAGCGGCTCT